ATTTTCTTCATTTTTAAAAATTCTTTTTTCTTTTTTTTTGTCCACCTGGGTTAAATGTCCCCCCCCCCTTTTTTTTTAAACCGATTTCTGTAGTTCAGTGAGGCGAGGTGAGGCGAGATGGGCTCAGGGTCCGCGCCCGCCGCGACGGGGCTCCTGGTTTGGAAGAGCCCCCATGATGAGCTGGCCAAGCTCAGGGCGCCGCGCAGTCCCTGGCGGGCGGCAGGAGAGCGCCCTCGCGCGGAGGTTTGAAGGGCACAGCGGCTCAGGGCTGGGAAAAGCAAAGTCCCAGCCTATTCCTAGACAGCGGTTTCTAGGACCAGGGAAGTGGTAACGTGGTGACGCTACACTGCATTCAGAGCGAGTTTAAGATCGGGTAGAAGATAGGTGTCGTAAAAGCGTCCAAAGTTAGGTTTTTAAAAAAATCCTGATCCAAGAAAACCCATTTCTTTAATAAAAGGATTACCGATAAAAGGTATTTTAAGGGGCCGGCCCGTGGCTCACTCGGGAGAGTGTGGTGCTGATAACACCAAGGCCCCGGGTTCGGATCCCATATAGGGATGGCCGGTTAGCTCACTGGCTGAGCGTGGTGCTGACAACACCAAGTCAAGGGTTAAGATCCCCTTACCGGTCATCTTTAAAAAAAAAAAAAAAGTATTTTAAAATTTAAAGATTTTTGAGACGTCCTTTTTCATCGTGTGTCAAAAAGAAATTGAGTAATTTTCGTTTTTCTCTATGCATTTCTATACATATTTTCTGTTACAAACAGCTCTTCGTTTCTAACGAGAAAAAAATGTAAAAGTGAATAAGAATTTAGTTTATCTGTGTTCATTGAATACCTAACTAAGTAAATCTAAAGTGAGTACGTGTTTTATATCACAAATTTTAGGTACAACAGTTTACCTAAAATAGGAAGTTATGTTTCAGTAAAAGCATTCATTGGTTAAGTGATGGTGAGCACTACGATATAACGTATTTGGGTGGAGGTATTTAGGTGCCTTGTCTCTTACATTCTAAATAGTTATACCAGCCAGTTAAGAAAACCCATTGAGGTGATGAAAATGCTCTTGAATTAGAGAGTGGTGATGGTTGCACATCTTTGTAAAAATACTAAAACCCAGTCAGTTGTACCGCTTAATGGTGAATATTATGATATGTGTTATATCTCAAAAAAATAAAATAAGCAAAGCCCCTAGCTTATTCCTAGGGAGCGGTTTCTAGGGCCAGGGAGGTGGCCCATGGTGACGCTACACTGCGTTCCGAGTGAATTTAGGTAGCATCGGGTAGAAGACAGATGTCATAAAAAAAAAAAAAATCTATTGACAATAAATAGAACATAATATGCATCATTGTCAGAAACTTACTGGAAATAGAAATGTCGCAGGAATAATATGTTTATTAATTAAAACAATATAGTTAATTATTGGCGCCGACTGAACAAGTATTAATTTAATCCTCACAATAATTCAATGAGGTAGATACTATTATGCCCATTTTATGGGTGAAGAAACTGAGTCCTGGAAAAACAATAACATGCCCAAGCGTCCACAGCTAGTAAGTAGCTGAACCGGATTCATAGCCAAATATGAGTATACCCTTTTTTTCCCAAACTTTAAAACTTTTATTAAAGAATATAGTAGAAGAGGGGCACTGGCTGGTTAGCTCACTTGGGAGAGTGTGGTGCTGGTAATACCAAGGTCCAGGGTTCGACCCCGGTATCAGTCAGCTGCCAAAAAACAACAAAAGGAACAATCATAAAGTTTAAACAAAGCCAGAGAGTAGAATAAATTTTCCATATATGTAAACAATAAAGCATTAGCATTTAGTTTACATATTAAATCATATAAATTAGCAAGATAAGACTTGCAACTTACTAATTTCTGTTTAAACCCCTAAAATAAAATTTTTACATTACAATACATATTCTAAATGTCTTGCCTATGACTAAAAAATTATCATAGAAGGGTATACAGTGAAAGAAAAAGTCTCAAAGTCCTCCATTTTATTTGTCATATTATCTCTGTTCTTCATACCTAACTTTCATAAAATCAGCTCTGATAGAGAGACAGAGAGAAATACGTCAGTTTAAAAAGTAGAGGTGAGAGGGCCGGCCCATGGCTCACTCGGGAGAGTGCGGTGCTGATAATACCAAGGCCACGGGTTCGGATCCTTAAAAAAAAAAAAAAGTGGAGGTGAGGGCTGGCCAGTTAGTTCAGTTGGTTAGAGCATGATGCTGATAACACCAAGGTCCAGGGTTAGATACCTGTACCCATCAGCTGCCCCCACCAAAAAAAAAAAAAAGGAAAAAAAGAGGAGTAGAGGAGATTCAGCAGGCCACTCCACTCAGGGAAAGGTGCTCCAGTGAACGTAGGATCAGAGAATTGATCTGCTCAGTCCTAGCAGACATTTTGCCACATTGTCTATTATCCAGAGTGGGGCAATCTCATTCATCCCGTGTTACTTTAGCATTTAAAGATAAGAATGTTAGGCCGGCCCGTGGCTCACTTGGTAGAGTGCGGTGCTGATAACACCAAGGCCACGGGTTCGGATCCTATATAGGGATGGCCGGTTTGCTCACTGGCTGAGCGTGGTGCTGACAACACCAAGCCAAGGGTTGAGATCCCCTTACCGGTCATCTTTTTTTAAAAAAAAAAAAAAAGATAAAAATGTAATTTATTTAACTATTTACTTCTATTTACTTCCATATAGCAGAACCACTACATGCAAGATTATCCCTATATTTTATCTAGTATCTAGCTACAGAAATAGCAATTTGTTTCAGTACAGTGAGGAAAAAAATTAAAATAATAATAATAAAATAGAATTTTTCTGCTTTACTTATTGAGGAATCTCTGTTCTATAACCTCCAGTTTGTTTACATGCACTTGAGTTTGGTGGTTATATACTCAAATAGCCAGAAAACATCTAACATCCCTGCCATAGGTATACTCTTTTTAAAAAAAAATCAGCTTTGTTGAGGTTAAATTTACATACCATAAAAGTCACCCATTTTAAATACACAATTCAATGATTTTTAGCAGATTTATGGAGTTGTGCAACCATCACTACAATCCAGGTTTTGAACATTTCATCACCCCAAAAAGATCCTTTATGTCTATTTTCAGTCAATCCCTGTTCCCACCTCCAGCCCCAGGTAACTACTAATGGACCTTCTGTCTCTAAAGATTTGCCTTTTCTGGACATTTCATTTAAATGGAATCATACAGTATGTGGTCTTTTGCATCTGGCTTCCTTCACTTAGCACAATGGCTTTGAGGTCCATCCAGGTTGTAGCATGTATCAGTTCATTCCTTTTTATTGTTAAATACAACTCCGTATCACATTTTGTTGATCCAGGGCCGGCCTGTGGCTCACTCGGTAGAGTGTGGTGCTGATAACACCAAGGCCACGGGTTCGGATCCCATATATGGGATGGCCGGTTTGCTCACTGGCTGAGCGTGGTGCTGACAACACCAAGCCAAGGGTTGAGATCCCCTTACCGGTCATCTTTTAAAAAAAAAAAAAAAAGACATTTTGTTGATCCATTTACCAGTCAGTAGATATTTGGATTGTTTCCACTTTTTAGTTATTGTGAACAATGCTGCTAATGAACATTTGTGTACAAGTTTTTATGATATGTTTTTATTTCTCTTGGTAAATATCTAGTTGTACAGTTGCAGAGTCCTTTGGAAATCCATGTTTAACATTTTGAGAAACATTTAAACTGTTACCCAAAA